GTCTAAAAAATTGAGGACCTCTATGTTAGCACTTATTCGGTCTAACGTATATTCATCCATACTATGAAATTCATAGCTGTATAGTTTTTGAGCAATATCACCTCTTTCTTTATATTTTTCATCAGCTAGGGCTAGTACAATAAGGTAAGGGTCCAGAAACCATGTGTGGCGTTTGATAGATTCAATGACTGATTCTGCCCCAATCAGATTGAATTCCTTAAACCTATTCATTTGCAAAAGTGCTCTCAAGTCCTGAATAAAAAAAAAACTGTTAACCCTGAAAAAATAATATTTCACAAAATGGTAGCTAGTTTTGTAAAAACCTACCTGGTTGTCTGCGTCAAGATCATTCCATGCTGATTTTAAAGTTTTAAACACTAGATTATCTAATCCAGAAGTAATCCCGGTGGGAAATCGGCTAGCGAATAGCTAGCTATAATCGTTACAATAAAGACAGCGATTTGGCCATGAAGATCGCTAGCTTTTTTAAGTTAGCGAAAAGCTAACTTTATTTGTTAAGATAAAGACAGCGATTTGGTTACTAGGACAGCTAGCTTAATAAGCTAAAGACTCACAGGCTAATGTAGCTACCATCATATTGTAATAAAATCGCTATCAAAATAATTTTGGTAATTAGCTATCAACCAGCTATAGATTTGTAGATATTTTGTAGCTAGCTACAAAGCTACGATATTTAGCTAGCGACACATTGCTACAAAATCACAATGTTTAAAGCTCAATTTTTCTCATTATAATAGACTCAACACTAAAAATCAAATTTTTAAAGATGTTAGAGACATTAGTAAAGAATAAAATAAGAAAAAAAAAATCGGTTGAAAATCGCTATAAAGCTAGCTAGCTAGCTAGAAAATCGCTATAAAGCTAGTTATTTTCCACCGGGATGCTACTTTGATAGTTTTTCCAGAAATGTGTTATGTGTACCTCATTGGCATGATGTCGGCATGCAATAGATAGAAGTGGTCGTTGAAAGGTTTCATTTACCAGTAAAGATACAGCTTCATTTTTGTTTCCAGTGTTTATTCTGGTGGTATCAAATGTAACAGCTTGTATATTGCCTGTAAGATTAAAGCTATTTAAGATATCTCTGATTGCATTTTTTTGATTTTCGCCAGTTCCAAAAGAAATTAGTGGAATTCCCAACAGGTGCATTTCCTTGTTACGGTTTATTAATATTGCTAATCGATCTTTTTCCAATTTTTTTCCATCAGTATATTCATGATATACTTTTCCATGAAATTGGAATTGAACTAAAATATTCTTATTGATTTTTCTAAAACTTCTTAAATCATCCATTATCTTGATTTATCATGAATGACCTTATCTGCAGCGCGTAATGCTGGTTGAACAATTAAATTCAGCTATATTTCCACCTGATTTAGCAATTATACTATTAACCATGGAAGCATGCTGCCTATGACTTATTCCTCCCCCAACAACAGTATCAGCAGTTCTCTTGAGAATATCTTTTGGAAGCATAACAGTATTAGCTTTTTTGGCTATTTTCCTTAACTCTGGATCTGGGTATGGAAAATCATCATTATCTTCATCATCATCTTTCTTACTTTTTCTTGACATGAATAAATCTGTAGTAAATAGCTTTAATAAGAATATAGAGTAAGTATATCATAAAAGTAATCAATATTTATTTCCTGCATTTTTAAATCAAAATTAGATATATCGTTTTTGTGAAAAAGTAATTTGCATAACATCTTTAAGCAAATATGCAACATTTTTTTAATTAACGCGAAGCACAACAGTTGGTAAAAATCTGCATAACTTTGCGTTTTTGTAGATAAATTTACACAAATTATTTCAATAAAATAAAATTACCATGCATTTTAATTTTTTTATTCTAACTTCTGGAAAAAAAGAAAATTTTTTTTTTTGAGTTTTAGCACTTGCTCAAACGTGCGAAAAATGAGCTTAAAAAAGGGTAAAAAAAGCCTAAAATATGAATTTTTCAGGGGTTGCTCAAATGCTTTTGAAGCACTTGAGCAACCCCTGAAAGTAGTCAAAATTTAAAATAAAAAAAATTCTACTAATAAAATATGGGTCAGCGCAGCAGATAACACTCCATGGTACTTTAAATTTTTTCATGACCTCAAAATGAAGCAGTCTATTATATATATATATATATATATATATATATATATATATATATATATATATATATATATATATATATATATATATATATATATATATATATATATATATATATATATATATATATGTATATATATATATATATATATATATATATACATATATATATATATATACATATATATATATACATATATATATATATATATATATACATATATATATATATATACATATATATATATATACATATATATATATATATATATATATATATATATATATATATATATATATATATATATATATATATATATATATATATATATATATATATATACATTCATACAGGGTGTTAACCAGGAATAAATTTGATATAGCGTTTTGATGAGATTAGGAATTTATCAAAATATTTTCCAATTCTCCTCCTGAGATTAAATGTGTCCCGGGAATGCATAGGACCTTTTCTTATATTCTTTCCTCTTCTACTCCACTTCAGCGCTGCATACATTGATTGGACAGCGCCAAAAATTAAAAAAAAAACTATCTGCAACATTTATTGAGGATGAATATGAAATCAAAACAAAATTAAAAGTGGTTTCACAACAACACGGCAAACTAAACTCCGATTTCAAAGAATTATTAATATTCAATAATAATATATATACAATTATTTATATATAATTATAAAAGATATAATTATTTTGTATAATATTATATAAAGATATAATTATTTTGTGCAAATTCAGAACACATTTATTTATAATTTAATTTTAAGTTTAAAAAAAAAATGTTTTGGAAGGAAAACCGAAAAACAATTGTGATTAACATGAGCTAATTTTTTTTTAAGAATAAATAAAATTTAAATAGTGAACAATATTTAGTAATATTTTTTAAATAAATTTGACAGTTAAGTTAAACCAAAGGATTAACTTTAATTTTAGTCAACTTAAATATATATATTTTTTAATCAGAATTAATATATATATATATATATATATATATATATATATATATATATATATATATATATATATATATATATATATATATATATATATATATATGCAATAATATATATATATACAATAATATATATATATATACAATAATATATATATATATATATATATATATATATATATATATATATATATATATATATATACAATAAATGTTTGGTTATTGTTTTAAGTATGCAGCATATATATTTGCTATTGGGTGTTTTTGTTCTGGTAAATATCTGTATATTTTAATTCTTAAATGCGCATTTCTAGTATATAATAGAATAAAATTTGCATAGTATTGGTCAGTTGTGGTTACTTGTGGGGTAATTAGTTGTGGGTTGGTGTTATTAATTATTGGTTCTCTGATGCACAAATTCTCAATTTTATTAAAATTATAAATAAAGACCTTTCATTTATTGAGTAATTATGTTGTAAAATATTATAAAGCAAATTTAATTATTTAAGTTTTGCTTTTTACAAAGAATTAAAAAGTTTGATTAAATATGTTTTTTAGTCTAAACTCCCAAAAGGTATACAATGTATGCGAGCTCATCTGGAAGAAGTTGATGATGTGCCTTTACTTGTTCCTTTATTTACTGATTGTACACCTCAAGGTTTTTTTTTTACTTGTTCCTTTATTTACTGATTGTACACCTCAAGGTTTTTTTTCTACTTGTTCTTTTATTTACTGATTCTATGCCATATTGTTTGTTTGTTTTTTTACTTTCTACTTTATTTACTGATTGTACACTTCAAGGTTTACTTTTACTTTTATATTAAATGTCTTTTAATTTATTTAGTTAGTTAACAACCTTAATAGGGCTTTTTAGATTATTGTCAAGCCACATATTTTTGAATAAGCGTTTTTAGGGCTGCATTGGTAAACCAATTGTTTGCAGTTGTTAAATGCAGAATAAAATTTGTCATAATTATTTTAAATCTTTGTCATTGTGTTACTGTCACAATATTATTTCTTTTTATAGACAGCTTCATTTGATGCTTCTTTGTTTTTTAATTATTTTTCTTTTGAAAAACATTTGTTTTTAAATGATTTATTATAAAAAAAAGTTGCGGAAAAAAGTTTGTGAAATTTGTTGCGACATTAGTTCCATATTTGTGCATGTATATACACTGCTTTGATTTAGAGGTTTTAGGTTGACCTAAAAGGTACTCAAGATGTTTCAAAAGATATCAATACTCTGGTTGGGTATGAGATATATTCCATTGAAAACAAAATAAAAAGTGTTCCTTTTTTGGATTTATACGCTTTTTTAAATAATCACACTTTGCAAAAGAAATTTTAACTCAGTAGCAATTTAAGCGTTTTTTGGTGTTTTATATACCAAATTATAAACATAGAGTAAACTCCAAACATTAATATGTTTATACTAGTGTCAAAACAAGAAAGTTTTGTAAAAATATCGAAATATTTGGAGCCAGGGAAATAAAAAACCCTTAAATCTTGCCCCCTGCCCTAAAAGGGAGAGCAACAAGTTCATAATTTTTGTTATAAACTATTCTTAACTAAATTCATATTAATTTAGAAATTTCAAATTTTATGAAAAATTTTTTTCATAGTTCAAGAAATATGTCAATCTTAAATTTGTAACCCCCTCAAACTGAGGGGGGTTAAAACTTTAAATGGTCGTCATTTTTGAACGCTATAAAACTACTGCACGAAATTTAAAATTTCTAATAAAAAATGAACTTAGTTAAGAAAAGTAAAAAAAAAAAAATTTGCTAACTTGTTGCTCTCACATTTGGGGCAAGGGGGGCAAAAAATTTGGTTTGATATTGTTCTCAGGCTCCAATCATCCCAATAATATGCAAAACATCCTTATTTGACATAAACATATAAATGTTTGGATTTTATCTTATGTTTGGAAGTTAGCTTTCTCAAACAAAACAAAAACACAGAATCCACCCCTTGTCATAACTATCTATAAACTTTGAATATCACTAGAATGAAACAAATACAAATTATTAATTTTTCAAACATTTTCTATTTATGATTACTTCTTTATTTTACAATAATGCAATATTTAGTACTATATATTAAATTATTCACATTCTTATACTAGAGTAGGTTACGGCCATTTTACGAAGCTTTTCTCCATGGCATTTGCTCAGCTCTGAAGCTGCAAATCTTTTCATTGTCTTGTTAATATTTTTGTGCACAGCTTTACAGCTTTGCTCACTGAAAATTCCCAAGGGTTTGTTTTTTCTTTCAAGAAACATGACGAGGTGTGACTGTATGATGTGAAATTTCCAACCTAGACAGATCTTGTGTGTCGTGTATTCTATCAGATACTTATGCAAGTTGCACATTTCTGAGACAAATTCCTGAATATCTCTGCTGAACTCAAGGGAAAGCTTCATTCCAAAACATTCTTCTGTCACTAAAATGAACAAATTCAAAGGAGTTATGTTTATAATTACTTATAAACAATAAGTGAAAAAGTAGTTAACTAATTACATACCGATTTTGAATTTCCTTAAAGTCTCAATACAGGGTCTCATCAGGAGTGGAGCTATAGTTATGAGTTCATCCAAGCAAGAAAGTACTTTTTGACAGTTAGATCCATCAAATCCTCCTCCATTGTAATGTGCCTAGTTACAGTTTTACCAATTAGGAATTTTCTAATTGACTCCTCAGCCATCAAAACATCTGTTATTTGCGTAACAATATGTTCAAACAAATGTAATTCAGGAGGAGGAATTATATCAGTAACAAGAGTTTCTCCAGATTCCTCAATTAGGCATGGTCGAACAACATTTTTATAGCTTTTCATATCCTTATTAAGTTCCCCATCCTCAATAAATTTCTGATACCAATTAGTCAAACTTTGAAAAGTCCTCAAACTTTGAAACTTTGAACTTTCCATTTTTGTCGTCTTTTTCACCTTCACAGTAACAGCAAGCATACTTTCCCCCGTGTGCCTTTAAGCATTAGTATTAAAAAAGACTATAAATAATAAATTAAAAATTAATAAAGTAATAAAAAGCAATCACTTTTTATAAATTATCATGCACAAAATAATTAATGTTTAACTTACAGAAATGCCCAGTAAACAATTAATAAGCTTCAGGTCAGCTGCTACTGTGTAATTTAGCTCATTTAGCTTAAGTAACTTAATAAGCCTCTCCAAATTATAATTACTTTCTTGTACTCCACATACAAGACCCAAAATAAGAACTGTATTGACCCCTGTATTTTTCATGTTTCTTTTCTCTGATTGTAGCTCTTCTGGGTTAAAGATGTTCATTATGACTTTTAGTGAACCTTGACCTCCATCAATACCAACTCTTATTAAACAATTGAAGGGGTTAAGTTTTCTGTATACACAAATCTTTTTTATTAGTTCCCACGGTTCAGGAACAAATACAACATCTTTTTGAATTGTATCAACAACCTTGCAGTTTCCATTGTTGTGTGTTTGTTGAAAGCTGCATAAAACGTTTTTATAAAATTGATTTAACTGGAAAGAATTGTCCTTAATAATTTTTGAGGCATTAGGTTCAATACCTAGCAAAAAATACAAGAATAATTTATAAATATATAAGTAATATAAATATATGCAAAACAAAGTTTATATACATTACTGTTACCTCCACGACCCAAATCTTTACGTATCTCAGTCATTATACAATCCATTGCTGACATGGGAAGATCCATTTTCTTTTTTATATTAAATAATGTATCTGAAGATATTTCTAAAATAGGTTTATGCACATCTCTAGAGTAGAGAGCAACATGAAGGGCTTTACCATCTACAAAAAATATATGACAAACTTTCTATTCGCTAAGGTTTAACTTTAATATAAATGTATTTTATAAAATTAATAATAAATATAGATAAATAGAGAAATATAAATACACATTTACCTGTTGCTACAGTTAGTTTGTTATTTTCAGATGTTTTATACATATCTTTTAGTACAGAGGAAATAACTTGTTGGGAGGTTTTTGAGTCTTGAGAAAGAATGAGCTTATGTAGATTTTGCACTATTTCAGATTTTGTGCAAGGGTGTCTGATACCTTTACCTACCTTTTGGCAGCAATATGTGCAAAAAGATGCGTTATTTACATCTGAGGGCTTCTGCGTATTAGCAAAATCTTTAATAAATTCAGAAAGATTGATTTTTCGATGACTTCTCTTCTCTTTTGCAATACAGCAAATGGGACATGTGCATAAACTAGTATCCTGTAACCTACCTAGTTTGCGTAATAATAGCATTAATGACAAACTTTTATTTAACCTTCCTTAAATGAAGACATTTTTTACATGTTGAACAAACTCCAGATGGTGGAAAATTGATTTTCAAACAAAAGCCTGGATCCACATATAGAATAAAGAGTTCTTGTAGAGCTGGGTTATTCTCTAATTTATGACATTTTACGTCTTTATTTAGACAGCAAAAACAAACTATATTCCTGTTTTCTTTATGAAACCTTTGTCTTGTTAAGCTCATTTTGACACAATACTAGGACTTTTTTAATAAATCTTTTGTATAATTTTTATGTTAATATCTAAATGTAAAGTAAATTTTCAAACAGTTCTAATGCAGAAATCTTTTCAGGTCTAAAATAAAGCTAAAAATAACAACAAAGGCATTTTTATATATTTGAGACAAGTGGTGGACTCTGTGTTTTTGTTTTGTTTGAGAAAGCCAACTTCCAAACAAAAGATAAAATCAAACGTTTATATGTTTATGTCAAATAAGGATGTTTTACATATTATTGGGATGATTGGAGCCTGAGAACAATATCAAACCAAATTTTTTGCCCCCCTTGCCCCAAACGTGAGAGCAACAAGTTAGCAAATTTTTTTTTTTACTATTCTTAACTTAGTTCATTTTTTATAAGAAATTTTAAATTTCGTGCAATAATTTTATAGCGTTCAAAAATGACGTCCGTTTAAAGTTTTAACCCCCTTCAGTTTGAGGGGGTTACAAATTTAAGATTGACATATTTCTTGAACTATGAAAAAAAATTTTCATAAAATTTGAAATTTCTAAATTAATATGAATTTAGTTAAGAATAGTTTATAACAAAAATTATGAACTTGTTGCTCTCCCTTTTAGGGCAGGGGGAAAGATTTAAGGTTTTTTTATTTCCCTGGCTCCAAATATTTTGATATTTTTATAAAACTTTCTTGTTTTGACACAAGTATAAACATATTAATGTTTGGAGCTTACTCTATGTTTATAATTTAGTATCTAAAACACCAAAAAACGCTTAATCTGCTACTGAGTTAAAATTTCTTTTGCAAAGTGTGATTATTTAAAAAAGCGTATAAATCCAAAAAAGGAACACTTTTTATTTTGTTTTCAATGGAATATATCTCATACCCAACCAGAGTATTGATATCTTTTGAAACATGTTGAGTACCATTTAGGTCAACCTAAAACCGCTAAATCGAAGCAGTGTATATTTGTTTTTTTATGGCTTAGACTTGAGTTTATTTGGGTTCATTTTAATTTTCAATAAAACATGTTTATAAAACAACATACTGTGGCTTAATCAGTTGTGTTGTTTCTTACACAGTAAATTTTCTAAATTTAGTGTTGCAAATTAATTTTTTAAGACTTCTTATGTTTTCTAAGTACCATCTACAAAGAATGCATTTCTAAAAACTGTTAAACAAATATTTGCTACTTATTCTTGTCATATAGTCATCTGAATGACAATAATAAGTAGCAAGATATTTACATCTGACAGATGTTTTTTGTATGAATGGAATTTAATGCTTGAAATGTTGTTAATATTAAAATGGAACCTAATGGTTAACATAACTTGATATAACTAAATGATACATTAAACTTCTAATTCAAATTCTTTTTAACATTTATATTTGGAAGCCTTACTAAATTAAGAATTATATAATATGTAATATCAACTCATTATATAATATCAACTAATATCAACTAATTATATAATATCAACTCGTTTCTCCGCGCAGCGGCCTTGTTCGTCAAGGTTCGTGTTTCGGAGTTATAGAGTTGAGAGAGGGTTATAGCCACAAATAAGTAGCCTCCTCGTCTGTAGTGGCCTTCTCGGCCTTGAGGAGGTGAATTAAAAATAAAAAAAATAAAAAATGTCACAATCAGTTTATTTGTAATATTAGTTTTTAAAGTTTCCAATCTTTAAAAGTTACTTCTTGAAGATAAACATTAAGATCATTTTGAAAAATGATACGTAGATGGTTTTTGGTATTTTTTAATAGAAAGCCTTTTAATAAGAGAGATTTATTAAAGAGTTATTCTTAATTTTTTTTTTAAAAGAGTTAAAGTTTTTAAGATCAATCAGAAAAATACTTAACATAGACAGATTGAGTTTTCCATTTTGAGTGCTGGGCCTAATTTTTCTTTTTAATTTTTTTTTAATTTAATAAAATACTAAATTTGACATTGTTACTTAAATTTTTGTTTAGCTGTATGTGATATGATTAACATTATGCAAGACTATGATGATATTGTGTGTTGTATTGGAAGTTCTTTAAACTTACAAAACCATACAATATTTTCTTCTGCTGATGTTAGGTATGCGTTTTTTAAAATTGTTTTGTATTTTTTATATTTTTTAAGTTCTATATTTTTTTCATGATTTGCTTAGTATATCAGTTAATCCCATCTTGCGTAATGTGTGTACCACCAAAGATCAAAAGATCAATGACTGTTATGAGCTACATCGTTCTGATTTATGTTTATGGACTACTAACAAATATAGAGGTATTTTTATTGTTTTCTTTATTATTATTATTATTATTATTTTTATATTATTATTATAATATATATATATATATATATATATATATATATATATATATATATATATATATATATATATATATATATATATATATATATATATATATATATATATATATATATATATATATATATAAAATGAAAAAATTTTTTGTTAAATGATTTTCTACTAATTTATATATATATATATATATATATATATATATATATATATATATATATATATATATATATATATATATATATATATATATATATATATATATATATATATAATGAAAAAATTTTTTATTAAATGATTTTCTACTAATTTATATATATATATATATATATATATATATATATATATAACAAAAAAAATTTTCATTTTTGTTAAGTGATTTTCTACTAATTTATAATTGCTCTGTTAAGAACATTGAGCACTCTATTTTGTAGAATATATTTTTTTAAATTGTTTAAATTACTCCCTAATTTAACAAACCCTTAAAACACCAACTTAACTTATCCATGCAAGTAATATAATGACTATATACTTATTTTTTACACATACATACATACACACACACACACTCACACACACACACACACACACATACACACACACGCACACACACACACACGCACACACACAACTTATTCATGCAATTAATCTATATATTACTTTAAATTTTGATGTTAGTTTTTACAAATTTACAAATATCTGCTTCATCAGTTATGATAAAGCTGATATTTGTAAATTTTTAAAAGCTATAAATAAAAATATATTAACATCACGTATTATATTAAGGAATTAGGACATTTGTCAATTTTTTTTTTTAATTTCAGGTATTGAATTTTATTAATTTTATTTATTATTCTTTATTGATTATACGCTGTATAATTTTTAAAAAAATTAATACTCATTAATAATAAATTAATAATTGTTATTTTTTGTTGTGGGTTATAAAAGGTTTATAAACCCAAAAAACTTTTTAAAACTGTTTATAATTTAAACTTTATAAAACTGTTTATAATTTAAACTTTATAAAACTGTTTAGATTTAAACTTTATAAAACTGTTTATAATTTAAACTTTATAAAACTGTTTGTAATTTAAACTTTATAAAACTGTTTATAATTTAAACTTTATAAAACTGTTTATAAATTCATTAGATGCTGCTACAGTATGTTACAAAAATGTCCAAAATATGTTTTATAGGACCAATCTCATATAAAGTCCTTCTTTTTTGTAGATTTTTTTATTGTCAATCCCTTTTCATTACTGACTTTTACTTATTTTCAACCTTTTTAGGTTTTTTATCATTGTAGGTTCCTTCTTATTGTAGGCCCTTTGGAGTTAAGTTCATTGTTGAATAGTGTCAGTTGTTCACTTCGATTAACACGTGAAGAAAACTTCCCTATTTCAGCTCTTTTATGTGAAGTAAGTTTTTAGATAAATGATTAAATTCAGTGTTATTTTTAAAAGAATTTATTTTATTTAGATTTTCTTTTAAAATTAATTATAATTTTGGAATAAATAGTTCATTTTAATTGTTTATTATAAAATTATTTATTAAAAAGTCTCGCCGTATATTGTTTGGCCTTCGAAGTTGTTTTCTGTTCTTGGTTTATTGTCATCTTTTTTTGACAATTCTTCAACTGCTTTCAACATGTTTTTTACTACCTCCACCTTTAAGTGGTTTACAAATGTTGTGGCTTATTTGTATCATAATCCCTTTGTTAAGCATATCACTTATTGGGACACCTAATAATGGGAAGTTGATGAAGGTTATTACAGGGAAAAGAAAAAAACACAGTTATAAAGTAACTTTTTTTAAATATTATAAATGTGTCTATTTCTTGTAATATGGTGTTTTAATATTTCTGTTTTTTTTTTAATATTATATGTTTATTACTTATAATATTTATTATATTATTTATGTTTATTACTTAAAATATGATGTTTTAATATTTCTATTTGTAAAAAAAAGTTTCTAAATCAAAATGTTTTAGGAGTTTGCTTCCAGTTATGTTAAACAGTTTTTTGTAACATTTGGATTAAATGCTTTTTTGATAACTACTGGCTTATTTCCTTGGTTACTAACAATGTTTTGTAAAAGAAGTAATGCAAAAACAAGATGCTCATGGTTTTTAGGTGCCAGGTAACTATATGTGTCACTGTTTGCACTTGTGTGTTTTTTTGTTTGTTAATATTACATAAATGATAATGGCTGTTCATTAAAAATGTCAGAAAAGTTTAAATGTACTCTCTACCGTGCTTAGAATGTTTCTAGCTATGAAAGCATTTAAGCAAGTATTGTTCTCTTGTTCTCAGAAAAATGACTAAAACAATTATCTGAAAGTCATTAAATCATATTTCATAATTTAGTTTGTTTAGTTGCATGTTTTTAATTATACATTAATCAAATCTAATTATAAAATTTACAAAATAAAATTCCCACAAAATTTTTGGGAATTTTAGTTTTTCTTTTTTTAAAGATTTTAAAGATCATAAAATTTAAAAAATTTTTCACTTGATAATAGAAACTTGAATGAAAATTGATATCATTAGTGACAAGTTTTCCCTCACTTAAGCTCACAGCACAATGATATTGGTATGTGTTGTTCAATTTGATGCTTAAAAAAAAATTTTTTAGTAACTTTTGGGACACCGCCTACATAATGTTCCTATTGATGTACAGTATATTACATACTACATATGTATTGTTCAATAAATCTTTGGAATAGTCTATTATTTTGTGGTGCCACATGGCACCGCTAAATGATTAGACCATGTCATTGTTAGACATGTCATCAATGATTAGACCATAATATAATTAAATCTTTTAAAGCCTTGTGGCACAACTGGAACATTCCAAAGTTTTTGCATTAGTACATCAGTAGGAATATAATTAGGAGGTGTCCCTGGAATTTACTGGAAAAGGCTTTTTGAGCACCACTCTAGTGTTGTTAACTCAATTATAGAAGAGCTTTACTCATTCTTGCTTGATCTTGTTGCAGTACACCAAAAGCCAAAGATTTTTAGCATTTAGTGTAAATTGTTAATGTTGCTATGTGGGCAAAGATCTAACATTTATGATTTTGGTTATTTATCTTTTTCGTTGATTTTTATTGAACATCTGTTTTTATATGTATTTTTTTTTTTTTTTTTTAATGGTGTTTGAAAACTAGTAAATAAGTTTGTTTCATCCTTTCGCTTTTATGCAAATAATTATGTGTGTTATGCAAGAAAATGTGTTTATAAAAATGTTAATATAAGTACTTTGTTTTAGAAATGCCTCACTCTCTATGGGTGGATACTATGATGAATTAAAAGATGGCTACCATGCAGCTCAAGATGTTATTCTCTGTTACATAACTATTTCTTTTAGTAATTTTTTTTTCGTTGTTGTAGTTTTTTTTTTTTTTTTTTTTTTTGTTAAAATGTCTGGTGAAGAATATTTAAATTAATTAAAAATAAGTTTGAAATTAAAGATTTTAAACTATATTTATTAAAACATTCTTCACCAGACATTTAAAAAGCTTAAAAAGCTTTAAAGAAAAAAACACGCTTTAAAGGAAGCATCTTATAAAATAATGGTTTAATGACTGTTCTTTGAATGAAAAGACTTCACTCTCAAATGAGCAGAAACATTTAATAGAGAAATAAAAATGGAAAAAAAAATTAAAATTTTTTCACCACATTTTGTTTTTAACCGGAATTAAAAGTTTAGTAGAAGTAAAAAATATTAAAATTTTCAAACATAATGTCTCATTGGCTCATGGTCGCTTTCACAGTTTGCTACATGATCAGTTTTGATCAAAGTTAAATTTCGATTAATAAAACTGAGCCATTGTTAAAGATTAATTTAATGTTGAAATTTTTCTGGTTATTTTGCATTTATATGCGCATTTTTTAACTAAAATTTGAAGGAGGGGTCTTTCTATTCTAGTATATTTTGGAAAACTACAATATACCAATGTTATAAGAGTTTGTAGTTTGTAGTGTTGTACCTTATAGTTGTGTCTCAAATCCTTCTATGACATATAGTCTGAATTAGTTTAATATTATGTTGGCAAGATTTTGTTTTTTAGACACTTCAATGATTATACATTATAATTTATACATTTGATAATCTTGTATTTTCTGTAATGTAAAAAGTACTCTGCTTAATGTTGTTGTCTTGATAATTAACATTTATTGTTTTTTATTTTCTATTATTGTTATGGTTGTTTTTTAGAAAGTATAATATAAAAGTAATGTAATGTCTGAAACAAAGAACTGTCAAACAGATTGATAGAGATAATATAAAGTATTTTAACTGTAAAAATTTAGAAAGTATGTTACAAAGTTTAATGAAAGTGATTCTCAAACCAAACTTTTTAACAAAAGTCGCAAAACCATTTAGCTTAACAAAAATTGAAGTAATAAAACCAACAAATCAACTATTAAAAGACCAATTTAACATAAGAACATCACTAGATGTTGAAGTTCTCACCATTTTTAAAGAGAAGATAAATGTTTAAGAAGGAATGTGAGCATCTTAGTATTATTGTAAACATTACAAGAAAGTTTTTCATTTTAACAAAGTATGCTTCATATTTATAGTCAAATGGCTCAAAACAAGGAGGAATACAACCTGGTTTAAAACAAGGAAGAGTGCATTCAAAATGGTTCAAAACAAGGAAGAATACACCCTGAATTTCAAAGTTTATGTTCAAAAATTGAAAATATTAAAATGGCTCTTCACTGGCAATAATGCTGGCGACATTGATGATGCAAAACTACAGTATGATGAGTATGTGGGTGTAGTTGTGTTAAACGTGGTGTTCAATTAAGTGAAAAATTTTAATGAATTTGCTAATTCTGTTAATAATTTTCTTGGTCTATTTTTGCAACTCTAAAATATTAAGAATTATGGAAAGCATGTGTTATCATTTTTGTTTTATTTCTTTGTTGAAATCTACAAAAGAAATCTCTTATTTTTTAAATAATAGTATATGATCACATCAATTCCAGTGACAATTTTATTCATCAGTATGAGCCTCCCATTAATTTTTTAAGAGGTTGTAAGTTAAAAACAGTAACTATAAGTTAGCAACAGCAACTGTAAGTTAGCAACAACAACTGTAACTTAGCAACAATAACTATAAGTTAGCATGCAATTGGTACAACCCAGGGTTAAAAGTTAAAAATCAGTTAAAGGAGAAAAAATAAGCATCAAAAGATCAAGTAAAGAAATTAAAAAAGATACATAACAGGTTGGTAAAGTAATTTAAAAAGATACATAACAGGTTGGTAAAGAAATTAAAAAAGATACATAACAGGTTGGTAAAGAAATTAAAAAAGATACATAACTGGTTGGTAAAGAAATTAAAAAAGATACATAACAGGTTGGTAAAGAAATTTAAAAAAATATATAACAGGTTGGTAAAGAAATTAAAAAAGATACATAACAGGTTGGTAAAGAAATTAAAGAAACAGAAAGAAAATGGTTAGTGCAGGAATGAAAGAAAATGTTGTACGATCTTTTGCTAAAAACCAATCTAGGAAAGAGATGAGGAAAAACGATTTGATATTCACAGTTTTGTGCTGCTTTGTAGAAAAAAACTTTTTATATTTCTGTCTTACAATCAGTTATTTGGGGTGTCGGTCCTTTATAATGATAGAAAACAAGTACAATTTCTTTGAAAATGTATTATCAATGATTATAAGAAAGGAGTCAAACAAGAAAAATTGCCACGCCATTAACAAGTTTTATATGGAACCCTAACAAGTCAGTTTTATGTGGAATAATCAAACATTTTAAGGCAGTTTTTTAGTAACAGAACAGAAGAACCACATAAAACATGTTGTTTCATTGACAAAAAAACTATTCGTTACATTTAAAAAAGAATTCTTTTGACAGAGCTAATGATACTATTCAAAGTTTGATACTTTAAGTTTTTGAATGTTATTATTAGCTCTGTCAAAAGAATTCTGTTAAGGTTTGTCATAATATATAGCCACTTTTTTTTTCCCTCTATTTTTAGATATTGATAAAAAAATTAAAAATTCTTGTAATATGCAAAAATCCTTGTAATATGCAAATCTGCATATAAGTTTTTAACTTTTGCGAAAATAAATATTACATAGTTAAAATACAAAGTTGTAATAGAATTAGCAAAAAAAATTAACTTTTTTTATCAAACCCAGTTATATTCAGTTCAAAGAGATTTTTAAAGACTTGAATGTCTTGCTTTTTATTACAAGTAAACTTTGATAGCTCTTTGTTTGTCAAATTTTAATCAAATAAGTAAAGTTGTTGATAAATAAATTGATAGCTAGAGTGAAAACCAAAATTAAACTTGTATTTAAGAGTTTTTTCAAAAATAGAATTTTTCACAACACTCGTTAGCTCACGCAAAAACCGAAAGCTCTTGTAAAAAGCTGTTTAAAGTACCAGCCTGCATGGCTCCTCGTGTTTGTTTTAGGAGAGTATTTCTCTGCTCTCGCATTCTCACTCCGTCCAAGGCCTGCATACATACATATATACACAAATACATACATACATCATATATACATACATACATACATACATACAAACATACATACATACATACATACATACATACATACATACATACATACATACATACATACATGCATACATGCACGCATACATACATACATTAACACACATCCACACTAAATGATCAGTTTAAATCTTTTTTTACTGTTACCAAACAGAAGTCCATGGGCTGTAATGGAATCCATGCATACATATTCAATTATGCAATAGATAGATTTTTGTCTCCTCTTTCGAATAATTTTGGTCTTCTTAAGGGTTCAGTTCAGATAGCAAAATTTTAAAAGAGTGGAATTTGAAAAAGATCTAGGAGTTTTTATTACAACCGACTCAAAATTAAAGAGGCAGACTGAGTCAACAACTTTCAAAAATTAAAAAAATTTATTTTTATCTTACTTTGCAACAATTTTTTTACTGACATTTCATGATTTTCAAAAAAGATTTTCCAATAAACCATGATTTGCCATAAATTTGTTTGCCATAGAGACAGCTCGCAGTTGCCATAAAGACAGTTCGCAGTAAATTTGTTTAATAACTATTGAACTCTTTGTTCAATAGTTATTGAACTCATTTGTTGTGAGTTATCTTGAGTTGTTGAACTCATTTGTTGTGAGTTATCTTTAGTTAGGCAGTAATTAGCTTGTTTCTCTATATAGTGGCCTTGTTTTCTTTCGTGTTTCGGAGTTATGGTGTTAGAAGAGGGATGTACTAACAATTAAAAATAATAATCAGTTATCACCTGACTTTCGTGATCTTTTAGTTTTTGACAACAATTTCTAATTAAAATTAACAATACTAAAATTTTTGTAGCATTGCTGTCTTCATCATTCGTACATCGTTCTGATTTTTTATGGAGGAAATCACCTTTTAAGAACAAACCTTGGTGTGTTTGTATTTTGGCAAGGTAATTTTTAACTTCATATTCCTTAAATGTTTATTTCTTTATCATGTTTCTAATATTTTTCTTTTTTATCTTTTAGTTTGCTTCTACAGGCAGTTCTCACATTGATCTTTGATTACTCGCATGATTTAGCTGCTATTTCTCCATTTTTTTATCTTGTTTGCTTTGTTGTTTTATTTGTTGTTATATTGTTAAGCGAGGCATACAAAGGATGTTTAAAGAGGTAGGTATTAGTCTGTATCAGTATAAGTCTTATAAAAAATAGAAATAAAAAGCCTCATACAATTTTTAATTTTATTTATATATATATATATATATATATATATATATATATATATATATATATATATATATATATATATATATATATATATATATATATATATATATATATATATATATATAAACAATATATGCATTATTTATTTAGTGATAATTTGTTTACCTAAATAATAAACACAATTTATTGCTTACCTACTTAGTGAACACAATTTGTTGTTTAGGCGGGCAGTTTAGTGACATCAAAAAGATGCTTTTGATGAAAGTTTTTGTTTCAAACTAATAACATTTTGTTTTTAGGAAATCTGTACGGCTTCAAAAGAGAGAAAGACTTAAGTTTGATACCAAACTTGGAATGAATTCTCCAATATAAACTTAAATTATTATAAGTATAATCCGATATCTCGAGAAATTTTATAAAAACTTTAATATATTCATACCCGTAGTAATTATATATTACATATATAAACCTTTAATAGTTATATATATATATATATATATATATATATATATATATATATATATATATATATATATATATATATATATATATATATATATATATATATATATATATATGTATATATATATATATATATATATATCAGTAATTAGTATTTATTTTTATTCATGTTCATACGTAAAGATAATATATTTACATTATTTCTATGTTTTTGTCTTATTTTTAAGATAAAGTTTATTAAAATTGGTTTTTAAAATGATAATTTCAAACAAAATTGACGAAGACCTTTTATATAACTACGCAATAAGGGGTCGTCCATAAAGTACGTACGCTCATAGGGGGAGGGGGGGTCTTCAAAAAGCGTGCAAAAGCGTATGGGGGTGGGGGGAGGGGTTGAATATAAAAGTACGTACGCACTAATTAAAAAAAGTAATTTTTCTTAGTTAATGCTTGTATTTCTAACTTATCACCACTAACAAATACTTAACTATAACTAGATGTTTTTTAATAAATAACTAGATATTTTTGAATATAATAATAAATAAATAATTTTTTTTAAATAATAAAACCATGCACGTGACTTTGAAATGTCAGTTGGGGAGGGAGGGAAGTATACTTGCCCTTAAAAAAGATCTAATTACAATTTTTTTTTTTGGAAACTTTAAAGTTCTTTTTACTAAAGGAACCTTAAAATTAGTAAAAGAAGTTTAAATTTAACAATAAAAACGTAAGTTTTAATAGGCTTAGTAAAAATGTTGTGGGTTTTTAGTATAATAATCCACAACATTTAACCCAAATAAACGTGCAGGCACGTTTATTTGGCACCTCATAGTTATCGTTTGATGTGTTTTGTAAATCTAACAACTCACATACTTGGTTACGTTTATTAGTTATTTAGGAATAGAGAAAGTTTTAATGATTTGCTTGCGATGGTCAAAACAATTGTTTTTATCTCCAGCCTGGAAACTTTCTTTCAAAGTTTTAATGTCACAGTTTTTTACATACCCTCCACCTATGTTGTTGTCTCGCAATTCAAGTAGGAGAATAACTACAGCGAGGAAAACACTTTTGTGCTCAATCTTATATAAATACAAAAATTCTTTGTGTATGAGAACATAGTTATTATTTCTTGATTATAAAAAATGTCACGTAACAAAATTGCATCATCTTATATAGGGTAATTTTTTTGATAAATATAATAAACTAAGAAGCTTGAGAAAACTTGAAATTATAAATTTTTGAAAAGTATTTCAGCTAAAAAAATGCAAGCAATCAATTTAGTGTTTGAAAATTTTTAACTCTGAACATCAAGGTGACAGTGAAGTGTATTACTTTTCAATCGTTTAAAAGATCATTAACAAAAAATAAAACAAAAAAGTCTTGTTGAAAGATTTGTGTAGTTGATTTTTAAGCGCTTTTGCTGGCAAACAGGAAACCTTTAAAATCAACAAACTGGCAAGAATGTTTGGTACCTTTAAAGATTAGGTTGTGGCTAAGGGCAGGTGATAAAAAATTTTTAAGTAATCACAATTTAAAACAAAAACTGTTATCTTTATAGGTTTCAAAACATCGTTTTAATATTTTATAAACAAAATTACTAATATAGTCTTCATTAATAAATTAATTTAAATTGTTGGTGATCTAAATCAAAGGGTGATTTCACCCAATCAAATATGTTTTTGATGACATGAATTTGATCAGAATTACTTTCATTTACTGTTAAATGAGTATCATTGTTTTCATTGTCATTTTATTTTCCTCAGAGGTCGTGTTGATTATGTTTCTAAACACGTATTTGTGACGTTTAACACTTGCTTCAGAAGCGTGATAAGTTTTGCAGGATTTGCAAGTTCTTTGATCAATTTTTTGTTGTGAAATTGATGGGCAGTACAAATCAAAGGAAGCTTCCATCGAAATTTTTGAACCTATATATCCCAAGCGCTGCACTAGAGAAGAAAAGTAAGGTTTAGGAGTATTTCGTGCTACCTTTGGCTCAGGAATAAAAATTCCTTCAGCAGCATGAGACATTACAACTGGACCTGGTAAAAAACGTTGAGGAAAATATTTTTTCCAGCAACTTCGCCAAGGTTTACAACAATTCGGAACATCACACTTAACGATCATTAAAAAATATTGACTTAGTCTTACGCGATTTTCAATCCATTTTTAATCTTGCTCTGGTTAAGGTGACAGTTGGGAAGGTTCAACATATTCAGCACAAACAGAATAGTTGTCAATTACTATATCCGACCATACCTCAGCTAGAGTTTCTGCAGCTTTAGCAAAAACTTTTTTTTCTAAATCAATGTCAATTGTTTTTCCAGATGCATTTAGATGTGTCCCAAAATGGTCATGTGGCAAAACCAATCCTGCTAACTCTCGACTTACGCCGTTCAACCCTGTTATATGCTGAATAATGAGGTGCATGAGTTCCTGTTAGATAGACATCCAAATCCCATTTTATAAATCTTGCAATTGCAACTTGCAATGGTTTTGGAAACCATGGATTTTCATCAGGGCCTCCATCACATGCAACAACAAATATAGGTTTTACCTGACCTGGAGTACAAATATGAAGCTTAAAATTTTCAATTGAAACAAGACGCTCCAAATCACTGCCATGAGTAAAAAGCAGCGCTGCTATCATGCTTCATAGATCTAATAGCAATATACGTTGGGCCAGAATATGACACTGCGTGAGCAAATTTGTTTGGATCAATAATACAAGCTGCATAAACAGACGGTATAAGCTTATGTCTGGAAGCGACTAAAAAATCATGATCTGGCAAACATACTTGATAATCAAGATGCATCAAAATTGGTGATTGTTTTGTTGCAGCTGCTAATCCTAATGGTACTTTAGCTTTGTCTTCTAGACTTAAATAAAAGCATGAATCTGGACCAAATATTGAACAAACTTCATCCATGTATTGCATGCACGCAAATGTAAATCCAGCATCGATATGCCTATCACGTGCTGTATTAGCAGTCCTGATCAATTTCACAGGAACTGTCTTAATGTGACGTATTCCCTCAAGTGTGTTTGATTCCTTAGGCATCAGTCTTAAATAAGTTGCAGATCGCAATAAACAATAACCCAGTTTTAGTAGGCTTTTATTTAAGTCATCAAGTGTCTTACATGAACGTAACTCCTGCGATCTTCGTCGATCGCTAGCAGCGGCTCCTATTGATGCGATGTTAACAATGGCATTAAGAAGATCTGGCTGATCGTCAATTACAGCTGGTCTACAATTTTTTTCCCTATTGAATTTAGAAAGTTTTGATTTTAAGTAGGGCGTGTCATCGACAATATCATTAAGTGTTCGTTTCAAACTTGCTCTGCGTTGTATTTGACGGATTGCCTCGCGTTTCATTTTTTTAAGACGGTTTTGTTTTATTTTTATTTGCTTTTCTAAAAAAATCGATTTTATTTTAAGTTCGTCAGTTATCAATCCTGCACGGCGCACATTTACCAATGTTAACAGCTGCTCTTTTAACTGCGAAATTTCAGTTTGAATTTTCTCTTGTTGTGAAGTATAAGATTTTGTCGGCTGATCAATTGGTACTTCCGTTTGTGATTTTTGACTTTTTTGAATATAAAATTTAGAAAAAGTAGCTAGTGTTTTATTGATTTCAAAATCTATTTTTTCTGCTTCATCGGATGTTAACAAAGCTTCTGGTCCCTCATCTGATATTTCGTTTGTGAGAGGAAGCTTCACTGCAATAGATTGATTATTTGATGTTTTAACATTAGAACAAAAAAACATCAACTGACTTTTACTTTCCATTGTTTTTCGTGTGAGTTCTTTTAAAACTGAATCATACGTCAATTCTTTATGCTTTACTTTATACCACAATTTATTAGCTTCTTTCTGTTGCTCCTGTTTACTTTTTTGTGGCAAAGCTTTTGCTACTTGTTGGTAAATAATTTTGTACTTTTCACTATTATTCATTTTAATAATTCCGCCTTTAAACTAATTTTTAACTGACTATTTAAAGCACAACTTAAATTTACAATCTACAATAAATGCAAACGGGGGTTGTTTGTTTAGTTTTTAAATAATTTATAGTATCTTATTTTTATTATAAAATATTTTTTACAAAATAAAGTTTAAAAAATTATAAAAAATACTATTTACATAACAATTTCAAAAATTAATATTTAAAGTTTAACAATACTTTAAAACTTTAGCTTTTAAACTTGTTATCCTTAGTAAGACTGTTGTCGCGCTAATTAATTAAAAATTGAAATATGAAGAAATTCCGAAATTCTTTTTATACTTTATATTGTTTTTGAAAAGTATTGAGCAATTGATTTAATGAAATGGAACGATCCCTAATATTTAAATTTCTTAAATAATGTTTTTTTTTATTAATTTTAACTTTTTAACTCATAAAGAGAAAAGAGAAGATGGGGGGAGGGGTACTTCAAAAGCGTACGTACTTTTCAAAGAAGGGAGAGGACTAAAATGTACGCATGGCAACTGGGGGGAGAGGGGTCAATATTTTGAAATTTTTGGCGTACGTACTTTATGGATGACCCCTAAATTGTCAGATATTTTATTAAGAGAAAAAACCTAAGTGATAAGATTACGGATATTTTTTCAAATAAAAATTGAACGCGAAAAGTCTTTACAAAAAATTTTATGAAAAATGTGTAAAATATCAAAATCACATCTTGGTGATTACAATGCTGGTTGAAACTTTAAAACATCGTTTTGATATAGAGGTTGTCCACAAATTACGTCACGCAATTTTTGAACCCCTCCTCCCTCGTCACAACATCGTAACTCTTTAGTAACAAGTTCCGTATGAATCGTCACAAAATCACTAATCCTACCCCTCCCTAACGCGTGACATAATTTATAGACGATATCATAGTTACACTAGGATGTCCATGGTAATCATTTTGGCTACTTAGACGTTTAAAAATAACATCGAATGTTAAACAAGCATTGATCAGACCTGGCGCAGTGGGTAAAGTGCTTGTCTTGGTTTGATGCCAACTCTGGACACACTTGTGACATGGGTAAAAGAGTAAATGTGAACTTCCT